CTCTTGCTCACCCTCAGAAGAGTTCCCCCAGCCCATGGACTCTTGCTCACCCTCAGAAGAACAGTGCCCCCATCACCGACTTTCTGTCAGTGTAACATTGCCAGACTGACCTGAAAATACACTTCCATGGCTGAGCAAGTGGCACACTCTCACCTGAATTGTCTTCTCTCCCTGCTAATATATCTGCACCAACCATCGTCCCTACACCCAGCAGGCAGACAAACACGGCAATGAAGTGGATCACTTTGTATCTTGCACGGAGAATAAACCAGGAGAGAGCCATCAACACGGGAATCCCAAAGCAATCCAGGAGCTGCGGGGAAGGAAAGCAAGCGGCTTCAAACATTTCAGCAGCTTGAAACAAAAAAGCACAGGAGAGCAGGAGCATGGATCAAGGCTGTCACTGCATGCATAGCTTTACCTGAGCTAACTCATTCTATCCTCATAGTAACTCTCACAATGGATTTCCAAACCTACTTTAGATATGCACACAAAACCCCAAGGGTAGAGAGAGATTAGTTGTCCCAAATCATACAGTTAAAAGACAGCTAGGGATGTAGCACAAATGGCACGGTGCTTGCCTAGCAAACACAAATCCCTGAATTTGATCTCTAGTACCACCCAAAACCAGTACTTTGTCGGTAGAGGCAAGAGGATTTGGAGTTCAAGTTAATCATTGGCTATATAGTAAATCCTAGACCAGCCTGGGATACATGAGATCTGTCTCAAAACAGAGACTCAAGGGCTGAGTCTATTCATTTTGTCCAGGAGCCTCTGCATTCCCTTCTGTGTTTATTCTTAAATCAGGAGACAGAGTCTCCTTCCAGTACATCCATTTACACTGTCAGCAGATATTTATTGAGCATGCCCGGTGTCTGAGACTCTGTAAGAGGATTTGGGTATTCAGCCAGAGACCTTGCCTGGCAAGTGTGTGTGTGTGTGTGTGTGTGTGTGTGTGTGTGTGTGTGTGTGTGAATTCAAAGATGAAATATACTGAAAAACATTTTAATTTGTATAGGTTTGTGTGTAGGCCAGAAGAGGGTGTTGAGTCTCCTGGAACTGAGTTGCAGGTGACTGTGAGCCACCTTATGTGCATATTGGAAACAACTCCAGTTAGTTGCAAGGGCAGTAAGCATTCTTAACCACTGAAGGATAATTCTTGATGTATTAGTATATTCAGGAATAAAGAGCAAATTATGCTGTAAGCTAATTATATTCCTGAAACATCTACTTCATTGCCCACTATGTGGGGTTTGAAGTTTGTCCCTGGTTCTCTCCATGTTTGTTAAGTCATGGACAGGACAAGCCCCAAGCAGTCTGTGGGATCCTGTCTAAAGGGATTTATTGCTTATTCTCATGGCAATTGGAGGCACTGGAGGCCAGCATACCTCCAGTGATGGGCCCTAGCCATGTGCTTCTGTGAGCCTGCCTGAACAACAAACCACTAAGCAATGTCCTGGAAGACACCAGTAGAATCCAGCCATAATGGCTTAACACAGCCTAAGCTGTGTTTCTTACTAAAAAAAATAAAATAAAATAAAAGTTGGAAGAGCCCACTTTAAAAGCTATCACAGGAAACTTCCTGTATCTTCACATCAATCCTAAATTTACCCTATCTCTAAGAACCCCTGCAGGGACATGACTATGGGGGTGTTGCTTATGTCATGGGAAGAACCACAGAAGCTTCAGCCCCAACCCTGTCACTGAGTGATCCCCTGCCAGCCAGTCTCTGAGCCAAAATACAAAATGCTGAGACCAGATCCTGTGATCTCAGGTCCTGCCCACTCTGAAATGCCACCAAGTCTTTTCTGACACCTGTCACCTTGGGCCATGCATCTACAGGAATTTGCTTTCTGAACATTTTCTTGGGGCGGGGAGGGGGAGTCTTTTTCTTTGATGCTTTCAGTTCCAGAAGTCTCATTTAATGTAAGTTTGAAAAATCATCATATTGTCCCAGTGAACAGAGTACTACATAAGACCCAAGTATGGGAGGAACATGGATATAAAAATGAGGGGAAAATCATATCACCTATGCTCACGTTGGAAAACACTGGGTTTCACCAAGCCTTGCCTTTTAAAATAACTGTCAGTTCCTTGACAGTTCCTACAATCTGGAGATCTAAAGAACATATCTGTGTTAGAACAGTGAGAAAAATGAAACCTCAACAAGTTAAAGGAAAAGGTCAGAGAGACTGCTCTGTGGTTAAGAGTACTTGTTGCTCATCCAGAGGACCAGGGGTCAATTTCCAGCATTCATGTGACTCATAAAAACCTGTAACTCCAATTACAGGGGATCTTGTGCCCTTTATGGCCTCTGTGAGCCACAGTCACTCACATGTGGTACAGAAGCACACACATACACACAGGCAAAATGCTCATATGGTGCAGGAGAGACAGCTCGTCAGTTAAGAGTACTTGTTCTTTTCTCCACATCCATAGGAAGACTCACAACTGTCTGTAATTCCAGTTTCAGGGAATCTGACACCCTCTTCTGGCATCAGAGGGCACTAGGCATCTACATGGTAGATACCCATACATGTAGTCAAAACATTCAGACAACACACACACACACACACACACACACACACACACACACACACACACACACACATTAAAAACACCATAATACATAAAGTAAGATTTAAACTTAAAAGACTTGTAAGAGGAGGGTCTGAGTGAGCACAGCTCAGTGAGTAGAATGCTTGCTTAGCATGCATAAAGTCTTGGGTTCCATCCCTGGCTAGTGCTGCATGAAAAGAATGTGGTGGTGTATACCTATGCACCCAGCACTGGGAAGTGGAGGCAAGAAGGCCAAAAGTTCAGGCTCATCCTTAGCTACAACAGAGACCAAGCTGCAATACACAAGACCCTGTCTTAAATTTTTTGTATAGCTATAGAAACCAGGCACAGTGACTCCTACCTGCAAACCTAGCACTTGGTGGGTAGTGGCTCACATAGGAGGATTGTGAGTTCAGTACATAATGGGTACCAGGCTATGGAGGGGGGGGGGCTAATTTGCCAAGACCCTTTCTTGAGAAACAAAAGTGCTATAGAACCATTGAACTCTGAAGTCTAAATCTGACAGTGGTACATCTATCTCACTTTCACCTCCAATTATAGAACATTTGGCTGGTAAGTCAAGGCAAGTCGTTTGCTAACACTAAAACAGCTGGACACAAGTCTTTCTCAACTCTACAAGGTTGATGAGTACTGCTATGAAGGAACATTTTCCTTTCAACCCACTAAGAATAAACCCAATAATAATAAGCTGGGAAGATGGCCCAGTGAGTGAAGGTACTTGCTGGGCAAGCTTGAAGGCCCAAGTTCAATACCCAGACCCATGTAAACATGGATGGAAAGAACTTACTCCACAGAGTTGTCCCCAGACCTCCACACACACTAATAACAATATGTAACTTTTAAATTAAATGTATGGAGAGGTAGGGACAAGAGTGTCACTGTTGTTGCCGACTCTTGCTGGCGTGTCCAGGAGGCTCCTTGAGTGGCTCCTACATCCTCATTGGCTTGCAAACCTCTAGCTTTGCAGTACAGAACCACACTTAGCTCTGTGCTTGAGCCAAACACACAACAGAACTGTCAGCAGTACCACAGCAAGTGCCAGATAAATATTTACCCTTATTTTGCTCAGCACTGTTCTAATCTGCTCTAGTGTGAGCAGCCTGGGAAGTGATCAACATGTATACACTGTCAGTAATTTCAGGAAACGTGACTCAGCGGAACAATTGCTGTACTGGAAAACACCTGTCATCCACCTGTGTTCAGGGCTTCTTCAAATGCACAGATTTCCAATAAAATTAGATACACATGTATGAGTGCATGTTCTCCTCTAGGAAGCACAAAACCCAGAGTGTCCCAACTCCCTCTTACCTGGACACTGGTCAGAGTCGTGTACTGGTATGCTCTGACAATCAGATAATTGGCTTCCACGTCGGCAAGCCCCAGGAGAGTGTATTTCCACCATTTTCTTCTCAATATCTCTAGAAGGTTATCACTGCCTGGTTGAAAGAAAGCTGGGTGAGTACACGCTACACATGTCACGACACATATCATTGTGTAGACCAGAAAATCAAAGCAAGGGTCTGCTGTGTATTTCAAGTGTGGCCTGTCCTAACTTCAGCTACCCAGAGGCTAGACATCAGTGCCATCACCATCAGGTTTGTCTAGTATGAAGCTAGAGACTACCCGCAACTGTGCAGGGAGAACAGTGGGAAGAGAGCTGGAGAAAAGTGGAAACACACATATAATATTCAGGGTTGGGGATGTAGCTCAATCGGGAGTACTTGCTTAGTATGTATACATCCCCAGCACTCAGCATGGTGGTACACAGCTATACTCAGGAGGTGGAGATGGGAAGACCAGCAGTTCAAGGTCATCCTTGTCTACATGGGGAACTTAAGGCCAGCCTGGGATATATAAGACCCTGCCTCAAACAATAATAATAAATAATATATCCATCTGTGAGCATGACTAAAGCCATTTCTGACAAGCCACAGACTCTTTTGGAAAAGTGCCCTGTTTTGACAAACTAATTGGCTATTGAGCCCCCCCCCCAGCATGGGTTTTTGTTTGTTTGTTTGTTTGTTTGTTTGAAGAAAACACAGCCGGGTCATTCTTTAGAAAGAGATGCACTTTCAAGTGAAACTGAAGCCAGTGATAAGCTTGGGAAAAGCTTTAGTGGCACCATTAACAAATGCTTTCTAACCACCCACACACAGCACAATTCTACTGCTTTAAATCAACTAGGATTTACTCATCTCTGGATAAACAAGAGACAAAGAGTTGGCACATATGCTGGGGAGGCTTTGTGGTAAGATAATCTATAAATCTATTAAAGACGGTAAAAGCCTTTAATCCCAGCATTCAGCTGGTAGATGAGGGTGAGTTTAAAGCCAACTTGTTCTACATGAGGGAGCTCCAAACCAGTCAGAGTTGCATAGCTGAGACCCTGTCTCAAAAAACAGCAACAAAAAGAAAGAAAGGAAAGTAGTGAGAATCACAATTGTGGTAGTTAATACTGTTAGCCTGACAAGAGCTAGAATTACCTAAGAGACAGACCTCCAGGCTCCCACCACGATGGCCTGTCCCCTCAAATGGTGACCCTGAATAAACCCTTTCTCCCTTAAGTTGCCTTTGTCAGACATTTAGTCATAGAAATAAAATCCATACCATAGCTGAATGGCTATCTCCTCTTGGCATCTTGGCTAAGTAAGATCAACTACAATAACTAACTTAAATAGAATAAGGTTTTTTTTTTTTTTAAGGCCAATTATGGAACAGATGGCTCCTACATGAGACGTACCTGACTGAAATGCTAGCATCACTGTGTAAATCAGGAACAGCAGGCAGTAGTTGATGAAGCTCTGAAGCATGGGAGTGTTCACTTTGTACTTTTCCGCCAAATACTGGCTGGTGATGGCTGTGCCACATATACACAAGGACAGCATCTGGCCTAGAGCTATGGTTTTCAAAATATCCCTAGAAAATAAAGGGAGAACTCATATCAACCTGCAAGAACCTATAACTCTCACATACACACACTTTTTGCTATAAACACAATATGAGTTACTGGGGAAATATGAATTATGCTAAATTTTATTCTAAGAATTTATTCTAAATAATTATTCTTTATTTCTTTATGCATATGTGTACAATGTGTATGTATGATGTGTCTATGTATATGTGTGTTTGTACTTTCATGTGTGGAGGTCAGAGGACAACCTTGGGTATCCCTCTTCCTGTTCCAACTTTGGGAGTCAGGCTTGTTTGATTGTTTCACCACTGTGTACTCCCAGCTAACTGGTCTACAAGCTTCAAAGATTCTCCTGTCTCCAGCTGCCATCTCACCGCAGAATCACTGGGACTACAGATGTCCACTACTGTGCCCAGCTTACCCAGATTCTGGGGATTTGAGCTTTACCCAGGGAGCCCATTTATTCTTTAATTCAGAGGCACAGTCTCATGTGACCCAGGCTGGGATTGTGCTTGCCATTGAGTGGAGAATGACTTTGAACTCATGATCCTCCTGCCACCACCTAGGATTACAGTCATGTACAACCATACCCAATTTATGATGTGCTAGAAGTTAGACCCAGAGCTGCATCCATGACAGGCAAGCATTCTACCAACTTAAACATATCCCAATCTTACTGATCACTTTATGAGCACAAAAGTTGAATTAATAGACTTGGAAAGATTATGTTTTTAATTCTCTTTTATTTCTTTTCTCATACCCTGTCCCCATTTCCAAGGAAAGTTACTCTTCCATTCCCTGGCCATCCATTAAAAGATAATTTTAATATTTAGCTCTTCATGTACTATACTGGTGTGGGATGGGGTGTATCATGCATGTATGTGCTCCTATACATACAACACACACATACACACAAACACACACACACTAAATCAAAGGTTAAAAAAAAATTAAGAAGTAAAAGAGAGCCAGGCGTTGGTGGTGAATGCCTTTAATCCCAGCGCTCAGGAGGCAGAGGCAGGTGGATCTCTGTGAGTTCAGTGCCAGGAAAGGCTCCAAAGCTACACAGAGAAACCCTGTCTCAGAAAGAAAAAAAAAGGAAGAAGAAGAAGAAGAAGAAGAAGAAGAAGAAGAAGAAGAAGAAGAAGAAGAAGAAGAAGAAGAAGAAGAAGAAGTAAAACAGAGGAAGTGCCAGGGAAATGATTCAGCATGTAAAGGTGCTTGCTACCAAGTCAATGACTTGAGCTCATTTCCCAGGACCCCACATGGTGGAAGGACAGAACCAACCTTGAAAGTTGTCCTCTGATCTACACACACACACACAAACACACACACACACACACACACACACACACACACACACACACACCATCACTGTCTTGCCCCCAACACACACAAACACCCAATAAAGAAATAAATATTTTAAATAGAAGGAGAGTGAGGCAGAAGGATCAGTCACCCACAAGCTCAAAGGCAGCTTAAGCTACATAGTGAGTTCTATGGTCAGCTTGAGCTCTACAGTGAGACCCTGTCTAAATACATAAAAGGTGGAGGAATGGGGAAGGGGGCTTTGGGAAATAAGCAGCAGGGGAGGACAGGATACATATTATTTAAAGAGTCAACAAAACTTAAACCTGTTTGGAAGACAAACAGAAGAAAGCAAAAATAAAACAAGATTGACAAGGAAGAAATTTAAGAGACACAGAAGATAGCTCTTGGAAGGATCTAGAAGGAACCAGGCCTGAACACACTGCAATATCTACCTGAAATACCCTCTAAATCAATACTTTGGGGGCAAGGTGGGGAGAAAGGGATTCAATAATTAGCCCTGGCTGTCCTGGAACTCACTCTGTAGACCAGGCTGGCCTCCAACCCAGAGTTCTGCCTGCCTTTGCTTCCTGAGTACTGGGGGAAAGGCGAGTGCTACCACACCTGGCTTGAATCAATACTTCTTAAACTTAAAAGAAATCATTGACACAAAATTCATTATTAAATGAAGCTGACACTCAACCTAAGTTGTTAGTCGTCCACCCTGGCTGTCTACTAGGATTAACAGGGAGCTGCTTTTAAATACTGACTGCTGGGGCTGGGGCTGGGTAGTCCAGTGATTGAATGATTACCTAACAAGCAAATTCTGGGTGTAATCTGTAGTACCTCCAAAATAAATAATCAAATATCACACTAAGCTCAAAAGGTTCAAACGTTAAAAAAAAATGCAGCTACAGAATACTATAAAAATGTTAGAATTTTAAAATATTTTATAAATTTATTTATTGTGTTGGACATGTGCACTCAAATACCTGTGGTAGTCAGAGGACAACTTGCAGGAATCTATTCTCTCCTTCTACCATGTGGCTTCTGGGGACTGAATTCAAGTCACTCAGTTTGGCAGCAAGCAACTTTACCCACTGAACCCTCTCACCAGTGCCCTCTTTTTTTTTTTTTAATACTGACTGTTGGGTTCTGTAGATGTGGCCCTGTTGTGCAGTGTTTCTGCAAGGGGTTCTGTGTACTGCTCTCCTGAGGCACCCTCTCTCCCCAGACCCAGTCTCCACACTGCAAGAGTCCCTTCTAAATTCTGACTTAATGTCAGAATGTCTAAAGCAGTAAGTGGCTCGTGGCTCCCCTCTGCCCTCACATGAGTGGACAATTTTAAAATGGCTAATAAGGCCACCTACTGTCTGACCTCTGTGCAAGGCTCAAGTGAAGTATAGAAATATTCTTCCTCATAGCTTGTTTAACTGTGATTTCTTTTTTTATTTAACTTATTTGTTTTGTTTTCCATCTCTTTAATGTTTTGCTCTGAGAAAGAGCTCATGTAACCCAGGCTGACCTCAAATGTACTATACTATAGGATGCCCTTGGGCTTCCAATCCTCCTGCCTCTACTCCCCAGGATGGGGATTACAGGCAAGCAGCATTTTATGTAGTCCTGGGGATAGAACTTCTAAATGCTAAGCAAGCAATCTAGCAACTGAGCCACATGTGCCCCAGCCTCAATGGCTAAAATTTCTTACAGGATATCAAGCATATAACAAAGGTGCTCCCAGGGCATTTGTTCCAGGACCTGCTGCAGATATTACGTTCAATGAAGGCTGAGCATCTTTCGTAAAATGATGTCATATTTTCATATAACCGGTGGGCAACTTCTCACGTGCTATATCATGTCCAGATCTACAAAGCCTAATACAATGTCAGTGCCAAGTGAGTAACTGCTGGCAAGTGCTTCTCAAGGTTTCATGCCAGGAGAGCCACACATGTGCAATGAAGATGCTATTTTTTTTTCTCAATACCTTTAAACAAAATTGGTTGACTCCAAAGGGTAAAATGTACAGATATGAAGAGCCAAGTTTCTAATCAATGTGTACTGCCTATCTGGGGCCTTAAGAAAATATTAGCAACACCAACGCTCTTGGTTCTCCCCAATTATTTTTGGACCTTTCCTAGGGGTAAATACTTTGGAGAACTTGCTATCTATTATTTTCATACATTTCAATTAACATTCATGTAAGTATCGTTAGCAGTAATTTGTAACTTGCTATCTTGCTCAACATTGAGAAAATTCTCCCTCTTAATCCTTCACTTCAGCCTTTAATCCCAGCACTTGGGAGGCAGAGACAGGTGGATCTCTGTGAGTTCGAGGCCAGCCTGGTCTACAGAGTGAGTGCCAGGATAGGCTCCCTTTAAAGCTACACAGAGAAACCCTGTCAAAAAAAAAAAAAAAATCCTTTACTTCTAGATGCTTCCTTTTCACCACTGTACAGGATTTTGCTATGTGACTCTATCACACTTCATTTGTTGATAGACATTTAGATTACATTCCAAATTTTTGTTGTTCTTGTTTTTATAAATAAGGCCGCTACAAACATTCTTGCATAGGTTTCCTAATCACATATCTGGTTTTTTGTTTGTTTGTTTGTTTGTTTGTTTTTTAGCAATGGTATAAATGGGTCACAGATATGCTAAGAGAGCTCTCCTCAGCACTCTGGGCTATCTGGTGAGAGCCACCTGAGGCTTCCTGAAAGAGGACAGCATGCAGTTTGTCATCTTTAGACTCAGAGTGTGTGAGGATCCAAGATACCACGTGGAAACCACTCTTCCTGGGTGGCCCCTCCCGCCAGCCGGGCCCCTCAGATGAGGGCTGCTCCCGAGACATGTGAGACATGCGCCTGCAGCTCAGCCTCCAGCAGCAGCCGCACCATCTGCAGTTGGCTCCCCTGCTGCTGCATCCAGGCAGCCAGGCCTAATGGCCCAGATGGCAACCACTGCAGCTAATGTGGCTATGGGCTGTGGGTCACACCCTGGTTCATGCCATCACTGGGGGCTTCAGTGGGGGTGGCAGTGCTGAGCCTGCAAGACCTGAAATCACTTACCAGGAGCCCCAGGGAACCCAGCTGCTGGACCAGCACTCTCAAGGGCCATGCTCTCTTGAGATCAGTTTCTGGAATGTGCCCAGAACCAGAATAACATGGGGCTCTGTTACGGCTTCAATGAGGTGTTGCAACAGTGCAGAATTGCAAATGGTTTAATCTAAAAGTTCAAACTGAAGAAGTTGAAAAGGGCTCTGCCTAATTCATAGTGCAAGTGTGGACCCTGAGTAAACAAATCTTATTTCTAATAGCTCCATTACTTCAGAATAGCCATGAGAGAGTCCTTACTGTATAGTTATTCACTCAGCTTGTAGTGTTGGGGGACTGGACCAGTGATGGCCTCCTTGAACCAACTGTATTGTTTTTTGTGAGTTAATGAAAATAAAATTGTTTGATTCTGAAAAAGAAAGAGAGAAAGAAAGAAAGAAAGAAAGAAAGAAAGAAAGGAAGGAAGGAAGGAAGGAAGGAAGGAAGAGGCCAGCTTTTGCTGTGGCTTCAGTGTCCCATGGTGACTTACTACTTGTGTCATAGAGTTTAAAGTGTTGAAGGTGAAGGTGCCCCTGGTGTTAAAATATAAGCATATCTCACTTTACTAGTTTGCTTAGATTCATCTTCAAAAAGTTATTCTTCCCTGTG